ACAGGCTGGCTCTGCTGGGGAACGCCTGGAGCAGGGCCGGTGGGCTTAGGGGTCTCCTCATCGCAAGAGGTAGAAGCTGGAACACCTGGCTGAGGAGGCTGGCTTCCCTGGGGGTAGACAGGAGGCGGGCTGGGCATGGGAGTGTCTGGGTGGACAGGAGGCTGGCTCTGCTGAGGAACAGCAGGGCTGCTGGGCTTGGGGATCTCCGGGGTGGCAGTGGGGTAGCTTGGGGGAGGACCTGTTGGATGTTAGGATATGTATCGGTGGTGATATGATTGCTGTTCGAATACTGACCAGTCACGTAGACGGTGGTGTAGACAGTGCAAACATCCTCCTGGGCAGCCGCAGCGTGATCGTGGCGGCGCTGGTGGAAACCAGCATGAGCCTTGTGCTGGGAGGCAAAGACCGACCCAACAAGGGCAGCTGCAACAAATGCGTACTTCATCTTGAAATCGGTACGGGGTTTTGTGGTAAACTAGGGGTAGTGGTGCTAGTCCGCTGAGCGAGTGAAGCGGGTATTATTAAGATATAAAACGTATAAAGAGCGACTGGGCACAATAGGCCAAAGGGACTTGTCAACGAGGCGATGCGTAACGAAAAGCCTTGCGTAACGAGGAAAAAAAGAGTCCAAAGTCAGGCTGGAAACCCGGAGCTTTTGAGTGCTGAGCCATGGCCTGTGAGCTGACCAGGCCGTGGGCCGCTGTGGCTCAAAAGGCGTTAGTTAGGGGCCCTGGAAATTACTGCGGCCCTCACTGTACAGGAACGGCATGGGCATGCTGTTACCGGCTCTATTGAGTTCGTGAGTTGCCCCGAGCGGAAATGACATCTGGGGTATCGCAGTCGTGTTGGGTGGAGAGCGGATCGGCTCTAGCTGCGGATGTGGCTAAGCGCCTTCACCCTGAACAACATGACCAAGTGCGTCACAGCAACAAATACGACATCCGCCTTTTGGCACCAGCTGTCTTCTGCACACGACAAACTCTATCATCCGCGCAGGCATGTTGCGCCTGTCGGAGTAGCCCACAAAACTATCTCGTGTTGCGTCACCGCCTCCCGCTCGTGTGATGACGGCCGACCACTGGCGTCCTGGTCTGGCGAATCGATGACATTCCGGATGGCGGCAGTAAGACGAAGCATTCACGCGTGGTTAAATGTGTTGTGCACCTCACAAGGCGGAACCATGGCCACAGCGCTAGCCGATATGCAGGTACCAAACGGTCTCGACAAGGAATCGCCTTTCTGACCGCTGTTTTGACTGGCCGAAGCTCGTATTCATAACAAGGGTGGGTAACGGTAGACGAGGCTGGCGTGCGCCCCCTTATCCACACGACTCGACCACACCACCAGAAATAGGACTCCGGCTATCGATGATGGACGTCACTAAGCTCTCTGGTCAGGTATGCCTGTCACGCTGCAACCTTATTATACATTTATGCGAGTACATCCAGTCGATGGCGAAGCTGCGAGAAATGAGATCAACACATACCGCCATTCCTGTGCCGCGGAACCACTTGCGGTCCAGGCCATTCGTCTAGGGAGGTTGCTCATTGTGCCTGTATTTGAATTGCCGATTCTGATTCGCTGCACACGATGCGGAACATGGTCAGCCGACCATCGCTCTGTGCCGCAATCACAGGCACATCACTTCGATTCCACAGCGCTAAAAAAAAGCTTCAATCCAGGGGGCCAGCGCGGTCATTGTTATCATATAAAGGGTGAAAGAAGCATATGTAGTATGTTCTAAAACTAGGTCATGCTGACCAAAATCTCTCCGAGCCGCTCAAGATGTCATTGCAGGCGGAGACTATTTACACATCAGGCCAACAAACCACTAAAATTATCAATTAGGTTTGGATGCTTTAGTATCCAAGGCATTGATTGTCTTGCTTGCCAGAGAAGAGAATTGCTCGACTCTCCTATACCAAGTCTGGGCGTCTCCTGCTCAGGCCGTGCCTATCCCCCCTGGCCAAAACAGTATGCTTCCAACCTATATATACACTCTTTTGCCCCGGCTCCACTGAAATCCCCTTCCCTGCTCTTGGCCGTCTTGATCACCGCCTCCATGGATCGTGGAAACATGTGTTCTTCATAATCCCTGACACTCTTGTCTGGATTCTTCCTACGGCTGCACGCTTTGACTGTGTCTTGTCCCAACACAAAGGCATTCTTCATGACAACGTTGGCCTCCTTCACCATCCAACCATGCAAAAAATTGCGCTTCATCTTCAATAAATGCTGTTTTTGGACAAAGCGGCCACTGAAGACCCACCGGCAGTTCGTAGAGGTCGCGCGCCCCTAATGCACGAATGCAACAGAGGACAACGCGCCTCAGATCATCGTGAGCATGCAATAAGTAACGCTCAATAAATTCTTCTAACCATTTCCACATCCATTCAAAGACGCTGCAAGTCTCTACGGAATCTTCAATCGCCCTAGAAAAGCGCAGGTCCGTGGACTACCATCACCATATTCTCCCTAACATACTGCGCGATTCAGCCATCCGTCTCCATATCTGCGCATATCAGTAATTCACTCGAGACACCAGAATCCACCTGCTTCTGATGCGACACCGCCTTGCGAACTTTGGACCACTCACCATCACCACAATATCCCATCTGCATCTCATCCCGTCTCGCATTTCTTCCTCCCCCACTCCCATCCCCCAACACCTTATCTCACCACGATACTCATTATCTCAAGTACCATCACTCGTGAGCCTCATCATTTGCAGGTACAGATACTACCGATGCGCCTCGCAGAGAAGTCGTGATTGTAGATTGTGTATGGGAATGTTGTGGCTTTGGAGACTCACAGGCAAGGACGAGTGGGGATATGTGACCGGTGCCTACGGATGCTGAGCTTGGTATCGCACACTAGTATTTGGGGGGACGTCAAAGCCACAGGACACGTAGTATGCTTTTGTATTGTTTGATTGTGTTTTCTGCTAGGAAAATCACAATATGTAGTTTTCTGTGTGTGAGAGAGTTGGATAATATCAGATGTTGGTTATGTGATATGGGCAGGTCGAGTTGTGGCTTACTATTTTGTTTTTGTTTTTCGAGGAAGTCCAGGTTAGTATGGTGAATGCGAAATAGTTAGACATTATTCCATTTAAGTAACGAGGCATAGGAGTGAGTAAATTGGGTTTTTGCATCGTGCAAAGAATCATACCTGATATTGCAAAAGCCCACCAACCCACTCTCTACAAATCAACAATCCCATTTACAAAATTTCCAGTAAATTTGGTAGCCCAAAGGAATAAATTTAGGAACACAATCTTTCCCCTTGCTTACCCCCCTCCCCCCCCCAAAAAAAAACAATCTTTACATCTCATCTCTCTTTATACTTTGATCTGACATTTTACCTCGACATCCCCAGCCCACAGCCACGTAGTTTTTCTTTTCTCTTGGCTGCGCTGCGCAATGATAGGCGCGGTTCGGATGACACTTTTTATTTTCTTGGGACGAATGCGTACCAAGTCCACTAACTAGTATCTCACACCTCAGCCCCAAACCGCGTCTTGGTGGGTACACTCGGACGCGACACTAATCTGTACCACTGCGTAGCGGACTGCGCCACGCCTGGCATCACGTGTGTTTCTGACCTGTGGATTCAAACCCGCGCCTAGACTTTGGCGCAGTTATGTGTTTTCTATACCAAGCCGGAGTTTGGTTATATGCACAACGGGGGATGCTGGTACTACTCTCATCGTTTAGTTCTTCTTCTTCTTCTCTGCTTAATCAACTTAGGTACCCATTACGTGGCTTCATAGGGAATAAACACAGGAAACATTTGTTGCACAAAGTCTGGTTTTTGTTTCTTGAATAGTTGCCGAAAAAGCAACTACGAACGCGCCGGGTACAGCATGCGCTTTGAAAAAAGATGGTTTCCTGGTGTTTCAAAATCACGTGATGTTTGCCCAGCTCAGCACTACGTACTTCGCTGAGGCTCGATGCTTGGTATCCATGCTATAATTGGGTAAATTAATATAAAGATGTACGCTTTTATTGCAGTTAAATTCGATTACCCCTGGGGGTCTTGAAAAAAACACAACAATCGTGCAGCAGCGGACGCCATTGCATGCTCAAAGCACCCTGGAGTGTTGAGGGAGATGGACGGCAAGCGACTTGCTACCCGACTGCGACAGTGCGAATTACGTCGTGGTGTTGGGTCGTGCTCTTCCAGGGCACCACAATTCTTGGAAAAAAGTCCCCAACAAGTCTTGACTTTCGAGTGTCGACATCCACGTCATCGGACCCTTGATCAATAAATCCAGTCAGCCCAAGCCTAAGCCCGCTCGTCCACTTTTTCCTAAACCAGGTCTTTTGGCGGCCAACGGGATATTGTGGACTGCGTTGCCAATCCTTACTTTTACCGCGTCAAACACCGCATCTGGTGTTTGAATGTACTCGGTGGCGTCGATTTTTTGAACCAGAGCCGTCCATTCAGCGTCAGGCTCAGTCAAGTTCCAGGCTATGCTGACGTGGAAATATGGTGAATAATCATGCGTCTGAGGGTCATTCTTGTCGACCTTCCTTCTCTTTGGCCTATGGTCGTGGTCGACGTCTTCCATCGGGCCGTCTCCCGCACCGCCGGTATACAAGGCTGGATGTCCGGTACTCTTAGCAGCTTGGTTGCATGCATGGAGTAGGGTGTTTAGCTCGTCGTTCTCTGGTCTTTTGATGGCAAGTACTAAGAACCAGCGGTTGCGCTCAAAGTTGGGCACCCATTTCAGGCCCTGAAACTCGAAATTGAATACGGGTACCGCGCATCGTCGCAAAGAAGCACCGAGAGTGTCGAGAAATGTTTCTCTGTCCTCGGTCTTAATTTGCAGCGTACGCGACAATGAGACATGTAGAGGCAACGGCACGCCTAGGTCTGACTGGAGCGAAGGCGTAATGTCTTGTGGTACTGGCAGCTTCTTTACACGCTTATTGTTTTCAAGTTCGAGTACACTCTTCACGTGCTGTATCAAGTTGAGCAGAGCAATGGATTCACGCTGTGTCGGTATCCCTCCAAGGCGTTAGCCTGTCGTCCGTCACGTGCGGGATGCCATGTTGGTATCCTTACACTCTAGATAGACATGACTGGGCCAATTGCCCTGAATATGTGGCACAGCACGTCGACGTCCACCGTGGAGGTCTGGATTGTCGCTAGTGCTGACGCGGGCGTTTACCGCGTAGAGGTCATGGAAAGCTGGCGGGAGCGGTGGCAGAGCATCGCTGGGGGTGGGCTTGGGCTTCGTAGCGGCAGCATCAGGCTTGGTGGGCGGATGTGCAGGCTGAACAGGGTGGACGGGGGTCTTATCATGCTCCGTCCCCTCGTCGTCCGAGGCAGAGTCCGGATAAGCGACGAGGGCCATGTTGGGGCTCGATCGCAGTTGGTGAAAGATCACCTCTGCTGTCGTCACTCGTGGATAGACCAAGGACCGGCCCCACTTTAAGCCTAGCGCATCCGCATGACGTACGGCAGCGATTGGGCCGCGTTTGGCTTCACCCAGAACGAGAGCGAGCAAAAGAGAACTGACGCAGGGCCGCGACTGAGCCGCCAGCATGTGTGTGTACGCGTCCCACCCAGCCATTTAATCATGCCCGTCTCCCCTGCCCATTGCCTGTTCCTACTTTCCATCTCTCCTACTCCATCTCCATCATAATCACTGCCACTACAGCAACACTTGGCTGCTTTCTCCGGTCACGCCATATTCAAAAAACAATAATTGCGCCCGCAGTCTGGCCAACACACCACCGTCCTACACACTCAACACCATCACAATGGAAGCCGTACGTCCGGTTTGGTGCGCAGCCGAATACACATGCTGACTCTCACAGGCACAACGAGCAATCATTGATCCTCTGATCGAGCCGGACCCAAGCGACGAGACTGGACTCAACAGCCACTTTCGCTCAACTTTCGCTCCCGCTGCTCCAATCACACCACCTGGTGAATCCCCCAAGGAGCACTCCTCAGTCAACATCCAGCATACCGGCAGTTCAACCAGCACAAACCCGTTTCGTCGCTCTAGGGCTGCGTCAGATACTAAGGGAGCGTCTGCCTCAGTGACCAACTATGGATATTCTTCTTCACACAGCAGGAGGAACGACTATCCCTCCCCTCCCAGCTCCGCCAGCCCCAAGCACACCCGGTTCCCCAACAATCACCGTGCCGAAGCCTTCGGATCCATGAATGAAGCTAAGCCACGACGAGCCAGCAACCCCCCACCATCCACGTTCAACAACGGCCTCTCCCGCGGAAACTCTCTGAAAGAGCGCTACCCGGGCGACAAGTCTCACCGGCCACTCGACCAGCTGCGCCATGATGAGAAGGTTGCTCACCGCGCTCCACACTTGAGGAAAAAGAACATGCAGGGTGCAGACGTCATTGACCGCCTCGACAAGGCAAGCATCCTTCGTTACCACCACGAGGGTCCGTACGATGCCGCCAGCATTGCCCGCAACAGAGTTGAAAAGTATAGTCCCCTTGCGGCCGTCAAGGACTCGAACGAGGAGGCACTGAAGGCTACTCCCCGCGAGAACATTATCGACTCGCTTCAGAGACATCGTCCTCTCGAGGGCGTTGCCAATATCCCACCCGGCATGCCGGATCGTTTCGGAAGGGTTCTCGAATACGAAGAGGGAGCCGACCTGCAGCGTGAGCCTGGGGGTGATTACCGCCGCTGGCCTGGTGTCGTAAGTTCCATCCTGCAACCCGTCTCAACAAAGTCCGCCTGCTAACAATGCCGCAGCAATACCACCCCGACGACCTCAAGGGCAAGGGTGAGCCATCGTTCACAATTGAGCGTGCCCTCAAGGAACACAAGCGTACCGGCGACAGCGGCACTGAGATGAAGACGCGCAGCCGTCGTGCCCATAGTGCTGGCCACACTGACGCGTACGGCTCCAGCAGCAATGATCATGCTGAGAAGAGCATGGGCAGTGCAATCAAGAGACGTATCGGCAGTCTCCGTCGCCGCAAGCAGGACCCAGAGGTGTAGAATGCCTCGCTGTTTCCGCGCTCAAAGCGGTTCGACCAGATTCCCCACGCTCACGCTACCCATTGAACCGGCGGTTTATCCCCAAAAAAAAAGAAATTGTACCAAAAAAATATCATACGAAGCTAGGAGAATTACCGGAATTTTCTTTGTTTTTCTCTTGTCTCTTTCTATCTCATCGTTGTCCAGTATCGATCATCTACTAGCGTCAACAAGATACCTGCAAGCATTACTCATACACGTTTTCTTTTCTTTCCTTATCTATACTCGAGTTTTCTGTTGTTGGCGCAATCTGTAGGGGGGATGCAAACGACCCCTGGGCTGCTTTGGGGATCCCTGCTGTACGATAATGTGTAGAAAGAAAAGGGCAGTTGCAGATTGGAAACGAATTAACGCAAGCAATCATATACCATTTTTTGAAAGATTATTGTTAGACATTAGATACTTGAATCGTACAGGTGTATGTATGTGCTTGCGAGTGAAGAGGAGGAATAAAGAGGAAAAAAAGATGAGACGTTTCCAAAGATAGAAGACCGAAATGTTGCAGCGGTATAGGGTATGCTAAGGAAAAGATTCCAGGTGAGTAACAGGAAAAAAGGAAAGTGAAGAGAAAGAAGAAAAAAAGAATGCCACTGCCCCAGACTAGCCCTTCATTGCAAAACATATGATTGTCCAATTCTCCCAATTGTCGTGTTGTTCATTTTCATTTTCTCATAGTAGACAATGCAAACCAATTTCGTTTGCACATCTACTCGTCCTGTTCCTCGACAGCCTCATTCTTAACCTTGGCAGCAGCCTTGACAAGCTGCTTGAGACGCTTCTCCATGACTGAGCGTCCTTCGAGCGTCTGCCAGACCTGGTGTGGCGCCTTGTTGACCACATCCCAGCTGACAAGGTTGTCCGTGAGATGCGTCAAGTCCTTCTGCTTGCGCTCCCACTCGCTGTTCTTCCTGACCTCAATTCCACTCGAGACAACGACAAGTGGCGTGTTTGAGCTTTGAATGTTTCGTGCGGCAGAGACTTCGTTCTTGGTCAGGCTGTCGGCAACAAGGTTCTCCTGAAGCTGCGCCTTGATGAATTTACCGGATTGGTAGGCATTGCGGCCGTAGACGCGGTCTTCACGCGTGCGGCCCTTGAAGAGTGCGCCTGCGAGGCGGACGGTACCGAGAGGCGAAATAATACCCCAGGCCCAGAGCAAGAATCCACGTCCAGGGTTGCCGATGCGGTGGAGAAGATCTTCGTGGAGAGGATCGACCATCATGATGCCCGTGACCTGCTTCAAGTGGCGCGAGCTGAAGATACGCGAGACGATGCTGCCAGTGCCAGCTGAGACAAGGATCCATGGTCCTTCCTCACCAGACCTAGCAAGTGCTTCAGAGAGGGCATCTGCAGACATACCGGCCGAGTGTGGCGAGGGAGCATTGTCGGAGAAAGCATAGCCGGGACGGTCCCAGTAGCAGTAGCGCGAGATGGTGCCGTTCTTGTAAGCTGCGTAGGCCCAGTGTTCAAGGTCATACTCCAATGGTTCTTCACCGGCCTCGAGAATGACGGTGGGGTCCCTTGAGCCATGCGTTTCCGTCACATTGCCAACGCAAGCCAAATGAACCGCGTACTTGTCTCCATCTACCAAGATGCGGTCACCGTACATCTTGAGTGTGGCGTCGCGGCCGCGCAGCCCCAGGGTGGCAGTCATCAGAACGACAATGATGATGAAGATGACGGTTACAATGGTAGCGACAAGAACAGCAACCCATTCCTTCAATGTGCGGCGGGTCTCTGCGCGTCCAGTAAGACGCTCTTCCTCCTCTCGCTTGCCGTATGCAACAACGCGATCAGTCAAGATGCACCAGACAGCCATCAAGAAGGCCCAGATGACGCTTGCAATGCCAACCCAACCCTCTTCAAGTCTTATACGTGGAATTGATAGGATGAGGATCATGTCGATAGCCAAGAGACCGGCAATGATGGATGTGGTGATGCGCAAGCCCTTGGCCGGTGTAATGAAGAAGATGGTGACTACGAGGAGGTTGCCGATGGTAAGACAAGTGTAGGCGAAGTCGAAGAAGCCCGAGCCGCGCGTGTGTAATCCAGGAGGAGAGACGAAGATGGAGACCAATAGGAGGACCCACCACAAGAAGCTGATGATCAGGAACAAGATGGTGAGATAGCGCATAGCCCGTACGGTCCAGAGGTTGTAAGGCGATACCTGCAGCCATTGTTAGTACGAGATGTTGTATGCTGAGAGTGTTTGACCTACAGCTGGGTCATCTGGGTCGAGATAGCCATCTGAATTGGGTGGTGGCCTAGGACGGTCCAGAAGTCTGGTCCTCTCGTTGGGCTCCTCACTTCTCCTGAATGTCGTAGAGCCTTCATCGTCGTTGGGAATTGGGTAAGGCTCTTCGTGTGCGAGGCCATTGTCGCCATTGTCCTTGGCACCTTTCCACATGGTGGCAGGCAGAGGTGTTGTGGATAGGGAAGCCCGTGTTGCGTATGTAGGTGTGATTGAGAAGAGTAAATCAAGATGAGGCAAATCGTAGGGCTAGTCGTGATTTATTTGAAGGGAGAAAAGAAAGAAGAACGTCCTGTGAAGCTCGTCGAAGTGATGAAAGCGTCTTGGGGGCGCGGAGGTTTTACTGAAGCTCATGGCGCTAGGAGAGGCGGGATCGACATACGTCATCATGGCATGCATCCAGGCTCGCGGGCACCCTAGTCGCAAATCATAAATCCAGATCCCGCGGCCACGCCCGTGTACATATGTATGTGTACATGTATGTAGCAGATCGGATACACGTCACCCATGTCCACGGCACGGTCAATAAGCTTGGCCAGCCTTGTGTTGTTCTCGCCTATCGTGCACATGGCACTTCTCCACAGGGGATCGAGAGACTGGGTCCGCCATGGGCGAGTCTCGTGTCGTGAATAACTCGCTTAGACGTACCCAGAGCTCTCATCCCTGCCGGCGATTAGTAGACAGGACCACCCCACTGTGTTAAGCCCCCCTCACGCATTGCCCTTCCACCGATCCAGGCATATAACTCATCGGAAAGCTGCATAACGTGCGCCCTCATCGCCATTAGTGGACCAATCAACTCACCGCGGACCCCAACGCATACCCAAAGCCTGCTTTCCGACACTCTACATACAGCCTCGCCCAAGCTGCCATGTCCAGTCTGGCCAGAGAGTTTGCCAAAACCAAGCTCTCTTCCCTGCCGCCGCCTGAGCCACTGCAGGAAGAGCCGCCCGAGTACGAGGATGACTCGTCCTCAGCCTCGTCAATGTCAAGCACTGGCACAGTCAGACCGTCCAATACGCTGAGACCCGCCCCCGCAATCCACTGGTCCGATTACTTTGCCCAGGAGTTCTATCTCGAACAAGATCGCAAGGACGCGGGCCATGCAAAGTTTCATGTCTACCTCACACCGCCAGCATCATCAAAGGCCCCACTCATAGTACTGCATCATGGCGCCGGAAGCTCTGCAATGACTTTTGCCTTGGCCGCCAAGGAGATCAGGAAGGCCATGCCAGACATCGGCATACTCGCTGTCGAAGCACGCGACCATGGCAGCGTAGTCTGGGATGCTAGCGGACAAGTGGATACGGATCTAAGCATTGCCCAACTTAGCCAGGATCTACTGGATATGATTCTGCTCACCCAAGCCAAGATGGGTTGGGGAGAACTTCCTACGATTGTCTTGATCGGACACAGTTTGGGTGGCGCCGTTGTTACCGACGCCGCCAACAGGGGACTGTTAGGCAACAAGCTAATGGGTTTTGGAGTCCTAGACGTAGTCGAGGGCTCAGCCATGGAGACGCTGGGACACATGCATACCTACTTGGCTAGTAGGCCTAAATCATTCCCGTCGCTGCCTGCTGCTATCGAATGGCACATCCGTTCACGCACACTGCGCAACCCACAATCAGCTAGAGTCAGCGTGCCGAGCTTGTTACTACAAACCTCAGACGGACGATGGGCATGGCGGACAGAAATCTCAAGCACCGAGCCGTATTGGGAAAACTGGTTCACGGGAATGAGTGGTAAATTTCTCAGCGGCAAGGGAGCCAAGTTATTGCTACTTGCGGGCACAGACAGACTGGACAAGGAGTTGATGATAGGACAGATGCAGGGTATATTTCCCAAAAGGCTATTCTGCTGCTCTTATGACATCTAACATTATGCAGGTAAATTCCAACTACAGGTGTTTCCCGCCGCCGGTCACTTTCTTCACGAAGATCTCCCCGAGAAGACTGCCGAAGTCGTAGTAGAGTTTGTAAAACGCAACGACAGGAGTACTCTTGTCCTTCCACCCAAAGTTTCCGATATGCTTGCGCAAGGCAAGCGGGTATAGAGGTGCTGTTGCATACAATGGCTTCTCTTTTTAGCAAACATCTTCGTATAAGTTGACGCCTTTCATACGCGTCTATTATCGGCGCTTTGGGCATGCTTTGCTCCGCTTTTACTTTTCTCAAAATCTTAACTTTTCCCAGTTTTCGATTCCCACAGGCCTACTTAGAATCCAGGTCTGCTTAATACCCGAGCCTATTCATGGCGAGGCCGGCCCCTCACCACCTTGTGCCTCATCACCACCTTCAGCTTTGGGCTTATGCTTTCTCCTCCTCTTACGCGGCGCAGAATCCTCACCCTCGTTCCCTCGACTGCCTCCTTCGGTTACATTCAATTTGGATGGCCGTGTCTTCTTGGTAGCACTCGACTGCGCAGCCGTCTTTTCCTTCTTGGGCTTCTTGACACTCAGCGGATTGGGGCCCTTGGGGCCCTTTCGTTTCTTGGGCTTGGGTTTTGCATCTCCTGTAGATTGTTCCTCAATAGAGCGACTGCCATCACCGTCTTGTCCCTCGTCTTCTCGCTTCCTCTTCAATGGCGCATCTGGCTTGCGCTGTCCTTTGAGCCCCAGTTTGAATTTTGATTTTTCTTCTCGCTCGCGGTGCTGCTCTGTGATTTCAGCCATAGACTCCATGAGTACCACCGACTTGGCCAGGTATATGATGGGTACACCGGCAATTGTTCGCATCTTTGCGCGCGTATCTGAATCATTGGCCGCAACTACGTATCGGTGCTTGTTGGTCGCACTGTCTTTAGGATCTACGACAGAGCTTAGACAGTCGTGTGTGCTAAGTGGTTCATCGAGGTCTTGATGGTTGCATCTGCGGCGCTCGTACTCTTTTGCTTGTAATATGAGGGTCTCGTTCTTGGGCTTCGCATTGTAGAGGTGTCGCATGTCGCAAGTGGTAATCATGGGCTTGACTTGTCCACCAAGCATCTTCTGGATGCGCGCGATAAGGTCGATCTTGAAATTGTATGCATCTTGCAGAATTTGTGAATCGAGCAGAACTTGGTAGGGTTCGCGGAATCCGAAGTTGACTTCGTACTGATGAAGCTGCTTCTTGTATGCCTGTGCTGCTGTTAGTGTAAAATGTAGAGACAGTCAGAAAGCAATTCGAGCCTACTTTTGCGCGCTTCAGCTTCATAGCGACGGTGTGTGTTGGTGTGGTGGATGATTGCGGGCAAGAAATTTACGTAGGAAGGCGGCCAAAAGTTCAAACTGCGCGCGGAACCTAGGCCGTGCACCGGACACGCTAGCTGCGGATTCGGTACCCTGCGGCAGGTAACGACACCCCCGTCCCTCTCCGCATTCGTCTTGTAAATCCGCCCCGAGGGCACCAGGACCACTTGCTCCCTCTTTGGTCTTTGCTTACCCCCTCTTCACCTACACAAACGCCGCGCCTTTCCGCAATTGACGCCAAACCGCTCGGCCTCCCCATGCGTCTCCTACGGTAGTCCCACCAGAATGAGCGAGAACCCCGCCGAGCCCTCCAAGAATGAGGGAAATAGTACAAAGACTACCGAAGCAAACAAGGACACCAACCAAGAAGTTGAATACGATGACTTTGGCCTGCCGATAAGGAAAAGGCGACCACGCACTCCGGTCGAGGACAGCTCAGACTCGGAAGTAGACAAGTTTGAGGATGCCGTAGCTTCCAAAGAGGACAGCGCACAGCAGGCCATCGCGCCAAAGGCAAAGGAAGATACACCGCAAGAAAAGGAGGCCAAGATTGAGACTCCACCAGCCAAGCCAGAGAAGATTGAGGCGGAGAACAATGCGCAGACTCAAGTCAACGTAGAGGCCACAGTGCCAGTGGAGAACCTCAAACCGAAGGGGCCCGAAAAGATGCCTGAGGAACAACCCGAGAAGCTGCCTGAGGATAGACTCATAGAAACGAACCTAAATTCGCTAGCATCCATAAAGTCTCCCTCAACCTTCGAGCCTCCAAAAGGCGTAAATGGAACCATATCCGAATACTCACACCAACGCCTCGTCACGCAGCCACAAGATGATTTCAAGGACAAGGTGGAGGAGGATGACGACGACGGATGGCAGACCATGCCTGCGTATGCTCACTACGACATGTACGACGACGATAACAGACTTATTGCAAAGGAGAATGCAGAGGAGCTGGAAGACATGCATGGCTACGGAAACGTCGGAGGAGCCGCCAAAGGTTATACCAGGGTTATCATGGATGATGACGCCGATTCGCAGACAAGCATGGATGACAACACCGCATACCTCTTCAAAGAAAAAAGCACCGCGTTGGCAGATGAAGACGAAGAGGGGAGAGATCCACGCCAACAGATGCAAGCCACCAAAAACATCCTCACCGAAGGACAGCGTGTCGCATACGTCGGACTGGTGCGATTGGCCACCAAGGAAATGGAAAGGAAGTTTGCCAATTTCAAGACAACCAGCAGAAGACTTAAGAAGCTGCTAGAGCTGCAGTCGGGAACGACAAAAATGTGGTCACAAAAGGTCATGGTCAAGATATATGCACACATGGATATCAATGCTTCTGAGCAGATTATGATTGAGCAACTGTCAGAGCATGGTGTAGTTCCGGCCGACCTCACGCCAGCATTAATGCAGAATGCGCGGGTGAAGAACCCAGTAGCAGATGACATAGACACTGCCAGCGGATCAGGTTCTGCAAGACCATCTATATCATCACCCCGTCCCGAAACTCCAGCAGAGAAGTCCAAGTCGAAACATGCTTCAACACCAGGCTCAGAGGAGGGTTTTCAGTCACCGCCGCCACCACCCTACGATGAACATCAGGACGACGGCTACGACTACCCAGAGGCCAGGTCGCCATCCCAACTTCCTTCCAGTAAGAATCTCGACATCGATTTGCGATGGACGGTCTTGTGCGATCTATTCCTGGTGCTCATAGCAGACTCTGTATATGATTCACGCTCGAGAGAGCTGTTTGAGCGAGTTGGCAAGTATCTCGCCGTAGATTGGCTAGAAAGCTGCCGCTTTGAGAAGCGTGTTACAGATGCTCTGGAGATGCAGGAGCAAGCTGACAAGGAGAACTGGAATGAAGATGAACACATGGTTGCTCGTGCCAGGCGAGCGCGGAACAAGCGGTTGGCGTTCATGGGTCTCGCGACCGTCGGAGGTGGTCTTGTAATTGGGCTATCAGCAGGTCTCCTAGCTCCTGTCATTGGCGCCGGTCTTGCAGCGGGATTTTCTACGATTGGTGTGGCCGGTACCAGCACTTTCCTGGCTGGTGCTGGAGGTGCTGCCATCATCACGTCTACTGGTGTCGTTACAGGTAGCACTGTTGGTGTCAGAGCGATGAACAGGCGTACAGGTGCAGTGAAGACATTTGAGTATCGGCCTCTTCACAACAACAAGAGAACCCATCTTATTATTACATTGGCGGGCTGGATGAATGGCAAAGTCGACGACGTCCGATTGCCGTATAGTACTGTGGACCCCATCATGGGTGACATCTACTCTGTCCTCTGGGAGCCTGAGATGCTTAGGAGCATGGGTGCCACCATCAATATTCTTGCTACTGAGGTGAGTGTGATGAGCAGGTTTCGAAGTGCATCTACTGACAGTCTCTAGGCTCTCACACAAGGTTTGCAGCAGGTTTTGGGAAGCACTATTCTCACAGCTCTGATGTCTGCTATGACATTGCCTCTTGCTTTGACGAAGCTTTCATACCTGATCGACAACCCGTGGATTGTTTCACAAGCTCGAGCCGATATGGCCGGTCTCATTTTGGCAGACTCACTTATTGATCGCAACTTAGGAACAAGACCTGTCACTCTCGTCGGCTTCTCCCTGGGCTCAAGAGTCATTTTCTCGTGTCTGAAGGAGCTTGCGGAGCGTGGTGCCTTTGGTATTGTACAGAACGTTTACATGTTTGGTACGCCAGCAGTGGCCAAATATGAAGAGTATGTCAAGGCCAGGTCCGTTGTGCCCGGAAGATTTGTCAATGGGTATGCTACCAATGACTGGATTTTGGGTATGTTGCATATTTCATGCTTTTTGTGATTGGTGTTGACGTATCTAGGTTATCTCTTCCGCGCAACTAGCGGTGGTGTTATGCGCGTTGCAGGCCTTGCTCCCATCCAGGTTCCCACTATTGAGAACGTCAACGTGACTGAGCTTGTGCCTGGCCATATGGCCTACCGTGCTGTCATGCCCAAGCTCCTTCGCGAAGTCGGATGGATCGTTGAATCAGACGAATTCGCCGAAATCGAGGATCCAGATCCTGACAACCACGAGCAGCGACAGCGCGAACTCATCAACGAGATTGAGGAAGCGAGAAAAGACCTGGAGAAGAAGGCGCAAGAGAAGGAGAAGAGAGGCAGTAAGCTGAGCTGGTGGAAGAAGAAGAAGGCCGCAAAGAACGAATGGGAAGTCTACGACGAAAACTCGAATGCTCCACCTCCAGGCCACAAGAAACTAGACCAAGACCAGGATCCAGCGAAACTGGCAGAAAACCCAATCATGTTCGACATTGACGCGATACGAAAAGAAGTAGCGAGCCTGGCCGTCGAAACCAAAGAATACAACGCCGAAGCCGAATTCGAAATCAAAGAAATCAAATCGACCCTTCCACCCATGAAAATCGACATCGCCACCGTCCCTCCCTCGCAAGCAGGCAACAACCCGTACTCGAAACTCCGAGAGACCAAGAGCTACAACGACAGCCTAGGCTCAGCAAACACACCCAAAACCCCCTCCAACGGAACCCACACAGCCGGCGGATGGGAAGAATACGACGAATTCGAGCACGAACAAGAGCACATGGAAATGACCTTTGACACTTCCTTCCGCGATCCCAGTCCCCCTCCTCCTCACAATTCAAACTCTAACAACACTACTAATAACAAATCATCCTTCCCTCCATCCCCCTTACCAGCCCCACATATCCACTCGGATACTGCATCTTTATGGGACGACGATCCCTTGTCGTCATCTCATCATATGGCCAGACCTCCGCTTCGCTCGTCCAAAACAGAACCTCAGGCCATGAGTGGTGGGGGAATGGACAATGGGGACTTGGGACATAATGCGTGGGCAGATGAGTTTGAGGATGATTTTGGCGAGGAGAAGGAGGTTAAGATGAGTTTTATGTAATCTTTTACCAGTAAACTTTACGGTTCTGTTCCGTTCCGAGGGGGTTTTTTTTCTTCTTTGCTCGTTGTTAGTTTGGGATATGAGGCGGGAGGCAAGGGAAAAGGGAGGGGGAGGGGAAGGGGGG